AGCTAAGGATGCGGAGGCTGCCAAGGATGCTCGTATCCTTGAATTGGAGGCCAAAATGGCGGAACAAGCATCGGTCACAGGCAAGCACCGTTCGTCAAGCCCCTCCTCCAGCAAGGCAACATCATCGCCTAACCACCAACGGTCCCGTCACGCAAGGTTGCGGCGTTTGACGGAAGGCCGAGGTCAAAATCTACGCAACCAACACACATCCAGCCAGGTGGCCCACTCCTCGCTGGATGCTTACTTCAACTCTCTCCCTCCTGGTAACTACTTCAGCGATGACTCACGCCAGAAGTCTCCTCGCGTTACCCTGGTCCTTTTTCAAAATGTTCAGGGGCTCCCATTTCCCATGACACATGAGAAACAGAAAGGGCTCTTCAAGTGTTGGACGGACAAGAGAGTGGGCATTGCATTGCTGGCTGAAGTTAACCTTCAATGGTCAGCAGTGCCCAGAGGACAAAAGTGGTTTGATCGGGTCAAGTCCTTCACTGACCAGGGACATTTCTCTTCAGTGTCTTACTACGAACACTAGGAGTTTCCAACTCCCTCGGCGCATCAATGGGGCGGATGTTCTGCTACATTACTCAACAAGGTCGCGCGCCGTGCAAAGTCAGGCGGCAAAGATGAGACAGGGCTAGGCAGGTTCTCTTGGATCAAGATCCGGGGTAGGGACATCCACCTCTCGATGGCTAGCAACAAATGGCGCGACGACGGCTGTTCTATCATCTTGGGCATCGATGCCAACGACGACTTATCCTCCTACTCCCCGAAGTCTTTCCGTTTTTGGATGAGCGAAGTAGGACTGGTCGAGGCGATCCAGTCTAAGCACCCAGGGTCCCATCAGGCCACTTACCAGCGGAACCTCCGTGGGTATCCGATTGACGGCATCCTTGCGACGCCTGACGTGCCCATCCTGGCCGCCGGGTACTACCCTTTTGACGAACACGTCGCCTCCGATCACCGTGGCCTGTGGATCGACTTTGACTTGAACAGTCTCCTCGGCGGACACCAACCTACGA